TCACGCCCCTCCTGCGCGCTGACCACGCCCCTTCCCGCGCAGACCACGCCCCTCCTGTCCAGCGCCTCCACCCCCGCTGCGCCCGCCTCCCCAGCTCTGTTGAGTCTTGCCCGCTGCCTGCAGGGCTGGGCCACCTGGCTGCGTGGGCCTGGCCCTGTGTGTGTCCCCCTTTCTGGGCCACCTTTCAACTGGAGGGAACCAGAGCGTCTCCCAGGACAAGCCCCCCTCCCCCCCCACCTCTCACACACACACATACACACACACACACACACCCCTCTGAAACAGAAGCCAGGAAAGCTGAGGGCGACAGGATACAGCGCCCTCGGAGGGGTCAGCCAGCCTTGGTATTGTGAAGGCCGGGAACAGCGCTTTGGGGAGTGCGGTGGGTTCCATGGCAGCTGCGCCCTCTTTTCTCGTGTTTCTTTCTGTCCCGCTGTGTGCGTGGAGGCGAGGGTCCCCGGGCGGTACCGACAGGGCTCGCACACCTGACACTGCCCAGGATGTCCCACTGTCCCGAACCAGCGCCACCGGTTCTCCAGTCCAGGCGTGAATATAAGCGTTCCTGTTAAAATACTTGTGTTTGGAGACGTTAAAATCTAAAGTCAATTGAAAGGAAAAGAACTGACATTCACATAGTTATTATGGGCCGGGCTTCACATACACCAACTCAGTTAATCCCATCTCCAGGGCATTGGCTATCATTACCCCTAACTTATCGATGAAGAAACAGAGGCCCAGAAAAATGAATTAACCTACCCAAATGAATTAACCTACCCTGTCACTACAGCAGAGTCGGGATTCGCACCCAGGCACCTGGCGCCAAAGTTCAGGCTCTAATCACCACACACACACACACACACACACACACACACACTGCCTCCAGGTGAATTCCTCTCAGGTAGCACTCAGTAGGTTGGGGTTGGAAAATGCTGCATTAGAAGGACAGAAACTACCCCAGCGACAAGCTAGAAGCCTCCTAAATGCCCCACAATAGGAAATCACTTAAGAAAACTGACAGGGGCCTGGCCAGCGTGGCTCAGTGGTTGAGCATCAACCTATGAACCAGGAGGTCCTGGTTCAATTCCCCGGAAGGACACATGCCAGGGTTGCCGGCTCCATCCCCAGTAGGGGGCGTGCAGGAGGCAGCCAATGCATGATTCTCTCATCCCTGATGTTTCTCTCTCTCCCTCTCCCTTCCTCTCTGAAATCAATAAAAATATAATGGGGGGTGGGGGGTTGAGAGAGCAACTGGAAAACTTTGCCAACTCATCTTGCATCCCCCACAGCCCACCTGGGAGGAAGTTTTCCACCTTGACCTGCAAAATACACCCAGAACGCAGCCGCTTCTTGCCAGACCTCCATGCCCACCGGGGTCCCAAGCCCTGGCATCTCTGACCTGGGCGACAGCAGGAGGTCCTAGCCATTGGCCAGGCTTCCAACAGCAGCAATGCGAACCTATTTAAAAGTAAAAGTCTGGGTGTGCGTCGCGCCTCTGCGTCAATCCCTCCAGGGTCTCCCCTTTCAGAGCAAGAGCCAAGGAGGGGCTTTAGGATGGCTGCTTGCACCCCGCGCCCTCGGGGAGCCCCCTCCTCACGCTCACCCTCATTCACTCTGTGCCGCCACCCTGGCCGCCTGCTGCTCCTGGGCTGTGCCAGATGCGCCACCACCGCTGGGCCTTTGCATCCGCTGTTCTCTGCCCGGAATGCTCTTCCTCTAGACACCTACATGGCTCCCTCTCTCCCCGGCTGACTTTGTGTTTTTCTCCATAGCGGTTATCTGCTCACTGCGCGATATGGACTTTCCTTATTTGCTGTCTTGGGTGTCAGTCTCTCACCCATATAGGCATGGCATCCTTTTGAGTTCGTGTTTTCATTTTCTTTGGACAAATATCTGGGTGGGGAACTGCTGGGTCAGATGGTGGAAAAACCACTAGGATTTTTCAAAGGCTTGGGTGTGCATACCCAGGGAGGAGACATAAAGCTGGCATGACTACCCACACCTCGCTGGCTTGGGTTTTCGATGCCAGGCCTGTGGAGGCGCAGCTGTCAGTGATCAATTCTTGTTGCATTTACCCCCCAAAAAAGTGTGTGAGTGTTGGGGTTCCCAGCTGTGGGATGCCTGGGAGGTAGGGAGCGGCAGGGTACCGTTTCCCGTTGCTTGCTCAATGGCGCGAGGAGGAGCCTCAATTACCTCATGTTGCAATTCCGGAAGCTGACACGGGGAGAGGGGCGGCGGCTCCCCCCGGGCACCCAGTGAGTCAGGGCTGAGCTGGAGCCCAGCCCCGATCGCCACCCTCTGCGTCACCCACCCATGCATTCATGCATTCATTCATTCATTCATTTGCGCAAGTTCTCATTCCTTCATGCACACAGCACCATGGCAGGTACTGCTGTAGGGACAGACCGCCAACACGGAGCCCTGCCTTCCGGGTGTGGGAGACCAGCAATGGAAAAGCAAACACATAGGCAAACAATGCAGGTCTGGACAGAGGGGCCAGGGAGGCCGCCAAGGGCGAGACAACCATGCTGAAAATGAGAGCAAGGCGCGGAGGAAGCAAGAGAGGGCATCGCGGCTGCAGGAGGTGCCAGGGCCGGGCTGGGCATGTGTGAGGCCAGAAGGCAGTGCCCACACTGCTGAGTGTAAGTGATGCTCACAGGGGGACCACACGCAGTGTGGGGGTGGGGGGGGGAGCCAGGCACAGGAGGGGTCTGGATTACCCCGAATGCCGGGAGAAGCCGCGAGGGCCCAGGCAGTTTGAATTCTAGAAGAGCCGCCTAGACTCCGAGATGCCGGCCTTCCGTTCCCTGACGCCCCGGGACCCCTCGGTGCCCCTCCTCACCACCTGGCCCCAGCACTCCAGGGGGGCCCACCCAGTCCTTCTCCCCTCAGGACAATGGGGCCTGCCTGCCTAGACAAGTGGAGCTCCTCACCCCCATCCGGGCTGCCACGAAGCCAGCTCCTGGCGGTCATCTGGGCCAGCTGGGCTCCTCCTGCCCGGCCAGACCCCTGTGTCCGGGGTTCCACAGAGCACCTCCTGCCCCCACAGAGGAAGCAGTGACTTCCATGCTCTGCAGGGGCTGCTGGCTGTGGGTGCA